GTGTCGGAGGTCATCGTAGTCGACGGTGTCCCACCAAGCCAAATTCTTGGGGAGCTCCCCCTCGTCCGCGGCATCTTCTGGCAAGTTGGCGGGGCCCCCGTCGTCGGCGTCGAGCAGAGGGGCGCCAAGGGCGGCTGCTTGCCCGTGCTGTTCGGGGTCTGCTCTTGCGCGCTTGGCGCGGCGTGTGTCCTCGACGTATTCCGCTCTCGTGGTCTTGCCTGGCTGGTCACAGCACTCGCGGATGGCGTCCGCCTGCTCCGCCGCGAGGAGGCCGGCGCCCCCGAGTTGGTCGAAGGGCCCAAGCCCGCCTTCGACGCAGCGCGGGTGATAGTACAACTTGTTCGCCTGGTCGGGGTTACACACGCAGCTCGCCCTTTTCGATGCGATCCCCACAGCCGGCGGCCCGGCAGAGGCAAGCCCGCCTCGAGCGCAGGGCATCCACGGCCCATTTGGTGACCAGGACGTCCCGTCCAGATGGCGGTCTGGATTGCGGGTGCGGGCTCGGCGGCGGCGGCGGCCCCCCGTCGGGCTCGTCGCCTGGAAAGGCTGGCCATTGGCACGCGGCCAGGAGGAGCAGGCCGACCAGTGGGTCATCCAGGGCTCCGCTTCCCGCCGCGACCACGCCTGCGCTGCGCAGTCGGCATATCCACGGGCGAACGTGTACGTCGCCGGCCATGGCCCCCAGGGCGGCGAGGCCGACGATCGAGCGCCACCCTCCGAGCAGCGTCGCCCGCGAGGCCATCCATGGCACCGGGCTTCCGGAGACCATCGCGCTGATATGCATTGCGGGAGCCTGGCTGCCGAGGGCGCCGTGCGCTATGCAGCCCGCGCGGGCTGGGAGCCACACGTCTGGGCCCATGACCAGAAGGAGGCCTCGGAGCGACAGCTCGCAAGACACCCGAGTGCACAGGAATGCAGCGTCCAGGAGGGCTCCGGTGAACGGCCCCGTCGGTGGGAGGAGCGAGTCTTGCCTGGTCGGGGCAGGCGGGCTGCTGCTGGTTTGTCCCGCCTGTGCCCCTGACGCCACGGCCGCGCACGACCGCACATGCCGCAGGTAGAATAGCTCGGCGCTGCCATTGCGGTGGCCCTGCGGAGGTGTCTCCAGGGTGCGCGTGGCCCAAAGTCTGCCCACATATATGCTTCTCCTGGGAATGGTCGTGCTGCTTCCTGTTGTGCTACTGGCCCTGCTCGAGGATGTCCCCGAAGAGCTGCTGCTGTCGGCTGTGCTGCTCCGTGTTGTGCTGATGGCCACACTCGCACGTGTCGACGTGGACCTGCTGCTCTCTGTTGCGCTGCTCCTGGTACAGGTCATGCCGCTCTCCTTTGCGCCGCTGGTAGGGACCGTGCTGCCCGTGGTCACGCTGCCGCTCGCCTGGGACGCACTGCTGGTCGCCGAGGCGCTGGAGGTCCCAGCGGTCGTGCTCGCCTTCCTCGTGGTGCTGCTCTCGGTCGTACTGCTCGCCGACGTGCTGGGCGTAGTGGTGCTGCTGGTACTGGTCGTGCTCGTCACAATCGTGGTCTGCTCTTGGTCGTACTGCTCACCGACGTGCTGAGCGTAGTGGTGCTGCTGGTCTCGTTCGCGCTCGTGGCCCTCGTGGTGCTGCTCCCGGTCGTACTGCTCGCCGACGTGCTGGGCGTGGTGGTGCTGCTGGTCTCGGTCGTGCTCGTCACCCTCGTGGTGCTGCTCCCTCCCTCCTCCCTCCTCCTTCTCCTCCTCCTCCTCCTCCTCCTCCTCCTCCTCCTCCTCCTCCTTCCTCTCTCCCTCCCTCCCTCCCTCCCTCCCTCCTCCTTGCCCATCCTTCAACAGCACACCATAGCTCGCCATCGCCCATCGACGCTGGGCTTCTCGGCCCTCCGATGATTTGCCTTGTAGATAACTCCCCTGCCACACCATCAGACGTGTTGGTAGGGCGGGCGGGGCGTTTCACCGGACAGTTCCGCATCACCTGTGATCCTGATGCTTGACGGTTCCGATAGCTACAATCATAGTGGACGATTACTGTTCATCATTGGGCTCTCGTCTTTACGCCCCGTGCATTCGTCCCACACTTCTGCAAGAGTTCCGAAGCTGCATATGGTCCTTTACACATAGATGCCCTCACCTTAGAACCGCACGCGTTCGTATTAAAAGACTTGTAGCATACTAGGATGCATGATGGTACCTTTTCACAATGCAGATTCCTCCGTAGCAATGCGCACATTCGTCTTACACGCTTGCAACAACTACAGGGATGGAGGAAGGCCTGTTTTCAAAACATCACCAGTCCTTTGGGCGTGGGTGGTTCAGCAAGTACATCTCATGTCCATGTTCGCCTTCAGGGAGAGGGTTAAACTCACCCCACCGCCTCTCCATCGGTCTCCAAGGAGCGTTTCGCGGGCCCCAAGAAGGTCTCAGATAACCCAATATGGCCCCCAGCATCGCACAATACGGCCCCATATGATTCAGGGTATCGTCCAGCATGCCTCCAAGAAGCCCTCAGACTCTTCCAAGCGGCCACAGGGCCTCCCAAGGACACTCCCGAGAGGCCAAATCCTTCACAAACCTGAGGAACTGTTTCCGATAGGTTCTTAGGCCTCAAGATGGCTCCAAGGTGGCCCGACGAGCCCCCCGAGGGGCCCAAGAGCGCACCAAGAGGGCCCCAAGAAGCAATACGTCGGCGCCTCCGACGGGAGGGGGGCAGGGTGGGAGGGTGAAGTTAAGAACCTGCCCCCCCCTCTTTGATCGATGGCCTCCAAGATGACCCCAAAACAGGGCCGCATCCAGAGAACCCCAAAGGCATCCAGAATGGCCCCAAGAGGGCTCCACGTTGGCCCCAAGATTCCTCCGAAAGGCTCTATGAGTGTGAGCGCATGGTGCTGCACATCCCTGATCAGGGCAACTCGCTTGGTGCTTCCTTTTTGGATGGGCTGGTGGACACGGCTGCCTCCTCGTCTCGCGGCGCGGGACGGCCCTACGAGGGGCTAGGCGGCGGCGCCTCGGCGCCAACAGAAAGGTTCAATCTCCATATCGGTTGGGAATGGAGGTGAGGAAGGACGGGCCAACCGACTCACTCGATCAGATTATCCGGTCCCTGTCTGCACACGGATGCCTCCTCCAAGTCAGACCCCACAGAGGGCTTTCCGTCGGCGGGGAGGCGCGCAGCGGCAATCATTAGTACATCGTCTCAGCGCAGCGCACATCCAGCGCAAGAGATTGCATCAACCCCTTGAAGCATGACGCCCTCGCCCTGGCGCCGCACGCATGTGTCTTGAAAGCTTGCAGGCGCTACACGGATGGAGGACAGTTCCTTTTCCAACCAGGGCTCTCGCTTGAGACTTCCCCTACTTTTTTATCACCTGGAGCATTGGCTTGGGCAGCAGTTGCGCGGATGGGGGCGGTTCCTTGTCAAAGTGGGAATCCCACTGGACACCTCAAGAACTTGATGATCATACCTTTTCGCAGCCCTTGCGACTCGCCAGACGGATGCAGCGCGATTGCACTTCAACGCGTGAATGGCAGGCCACTGCGGTGCAAATCTTCCAAGGGGGCGCCTTGCAGTGAAAAGGACGCTTTGCAGGGACTCATTAAAAGGGGACAGGAGGGTGCGATGCAGCATCGTTGATGCAATATCAGGCTTGCTCTCGTCCCCTCCTCATCCTCCTGATTATACTGCTCCTCTTCCTCCTCCCCCTCCGGCTTACTTTTTGCTTCTTCTCTTGCTCCTGCTCCTCGTCTTCCTCCTCCTCCTTCTCCTCCTCCTACTGCCACTGCTGATGTTCCTCCTCCTACTCCTCCTCCTACTCCTCCTTATTCCATTCCTCATCCGTCCTCCCCTTCCTTTTCTCCTTCTCATCTTCCTCCTCGCCCTCCTTGTCCTCGACCTCGTGTTCATCCTCTCTCGTCGTTGTCGTCATGAACCTCCTACCCCCGATTTCGTCCCACTCTTTCCTGCTCCATCTCCGTATACTCTTTTCTCCCCTTCTTGTCTCACTCCTCTCCTCCTCCTGTTCCTACGCTGCGCCCATGGGGGAACAACGAGAATATGTGAGGTCGCCCTGATGTTAGGGTAGGGTAAGATGTGTCACTACCGAAACACACAAGCTCGAGCATTCGGTTCGTATTGCACCATAATGAAATACTGAGACATGGGTGGAATGGGAAAACCGGGGTACGCGCAAAACACGATAATTGATGGACCAACTCAAGATACCCCGATGGATCGATGAGCGGTCTCCCAAGCTTCCACGCTAAAGTGAACGATTGGGCAACATGAATCCCGAGCGTTGGCCCGAAGAGTACAGATTTAGATGGCTGATGGACAGAGATCGACGGCGAGCCCGGGGGGAAGTGAGAGAAGGGCAGGCCTTCTCAGAAGTCGCCAGAGTTCGTCAGCCTTCGGAGCAGTTCGTCAGCCTTCCCCGAAGGCACAGAAAACTTCTCAAAGGCGCGAGGGTTTCTGAGAAGTCCCGCCGCCTTCCCAGAAGGCCTTCTCCTTCTCACTTCCCCCCTCGCTCGCCGCCGAAGAAAGCCCGCGGACACCCACCAGCACGATGGGCCGACTAACTTCCGCTGAGAACTCATAGGGCACGCAGCCCGGCGCAAGCGCGCGCGACTCGTACTCGGTGTCCCGTTCCGTTCCGCTCTGGTCAGGACGCTTATATTTGAACCATTTGCCCTCATGCATTCGGCTGGTCGCAGTGGAAGGAGGAAAGGGAAAATAATCCACTCCGGACGAGAAGGTCGAGGGGGGGGGAGGATAGCCAGCCGCGAATTGTCCAGGCTCCGGACGAGAATGTCGAGCGGGGGGAGGGGGGGGTGTAGATAGCTAGCCGCTAATTGTCCAGGCTCCGGACGAGAATGTCGAGCAGGGGGAGGGGGGGCGTAGGTAGCTGTAAATGTGTGGCGGCAGCGGGGGGGGGCAAGCAAACGTAAATTGGCAGGCAACGAACGAACGCTTACGCTACGGCACTAAGGTATATGAGAACTACAAGGCAGCCTATTAGCTGTACGCATCTAACCTGGCGAGGAAGCCCTTCCGCCCACATTTTCGCCACCACGCTGCGAAGCGGACGAGCACGCGCCCGCGCGTGCTTTTTTTGCTACCTCGGGCCCTGGTGCTGGCGATTGGCATACAGCCGTTGGCAAAACGCGCGCGAGTCGCGCGCTACTACCTCCTGGTGCGTTATCCTGCTGCGTCGGGGAGCCGCCGCCCGCTGCGAAGAGGGGGAAGAGACGAGGGGCAGGGGGACAGGGAAACGGCCCTTGTGCAACACCCTGAGATCCCCACGGCCACAGCACAGGACGCCCGGGCCCCGTCGCGGGCGGGGGGCGCGCCCGCCCGCCTCAGACGTACATGATGCTCGGATCCTGCGAGTCCACCCGCCCGTGGGGCTCGGGCGACCCCAGCGAGGTGCCGGATCCGGCCGCGACGCCTCCCGGCGGCCCCAGCGGCAGCAGGGGCGCTGGCGCCGGGCCCGCCTGGACGGCGGGGCCGTAGCCGTAGTCCGCCTGCCGCTTCGCCCTGGGCGCGGGCGACTGCTGCTGCGGCGCCACGCCGCCAGCGGGGCCCGCGGCGTCCGACCCCTGCGGCGCGCCCTGGCCAGCGGGCGCGAACTGCGACACCACCGGGGCGCCCGGGGCCCCCGCCGCAGGCCGCGGCTCGCCTCGGGGCGGCGCCGACGCCCTGGACGCGAGCTGCTGCTCCGCGTGATCCAGCACGTGGTCCATGCTCGACATGGGGGCCGGCAGAGGCTCGCCGTCGGGCCCGTACTTGTAGCTGGGCTGCGCTGCCGCACCGTGGGCCGAGGCGTCGAGGACGCCTCCGGGCGCCTCGGGGGGCGGCAGGGGGGCGCGCGGCGGCCATGCGTGCGCTGGCACTCCCGCTTCCGGCGCCAGTGTGGGGAAGCAGCCCTGCCAAGGCGGCGGGTGCCGCTCTGGCAACGCCCCAGGGCGCGTCATGCTGCCCGGGGGGCCTGCCGCAGGAGGGCCGCCTGGCGCATGAGCCTGCGCCAGCCCGAACGTAGGAAGCATCTCTGGCTGCGGCTCGGGAGCCGGGGGGCTCTTCCCCGACGGGGCCTCCACCGGGTGTGCGCCCTCTTTGTGCTCCTCGTGGATCTGGCCGGCGGCTCCCGCCAACGGATGCGGCATGCCCTGTGGCATCGCACTCAGGATCGTGAATGGCTTGCCTGCGCCAGGCGGCACGAAGCTGACGCCTGGCACTGGGGCCACGCCGGGCGGCATGAATGGCGGCGCTGCACCAGGGGGCACCGACAGCTGCGGCATGGGAACCATGGAGACCCCCGGGGGCAGCTGCTGCATCGGAGGAGGCAACAGCCCGCCAGGGGGCGGCCCAGGCAGCGGCATCCCGGGCATCCCAGGCGGCATCCCAGGCATCCAAGGCGGCATCCCAGGCATCCCAGGCGGCATCCCAGGCATCCCAGGCATCCCAAGCATCCCGGGCGGCGCCATCACACCGCGCGCGGGCAGATGCATGCCGGCATCCCAGCCCGGCGTTCCGCCCGGGTGCCATGGCGGCGGCATCCCGGCGTCGCCGCGCGGGTGCCACAGCGGCGGCGTCCCAGCCACAGGCTGCAGCCCCGCCGCGGGCGACTGGATGAGTTGCGCAGGCGGGAGGCCAGCGGGAGGCCGCAGTGCGGGCGCGCTCGGCTCGGCGCGGTCTCTCAGCAGCTCGCTGTTGGCCACCGCCCCGCCGTGTTCCACGCAGTGGCCATTGCGGGCCATCTCTTCCCTCGTGACCAGCCTGCATCCGGCTGACGCACCTTCCAACGCCGTGCTGGCGGCGATTATCCGTGCGGGGGCAACGTGTGCGCCGTCCTGGGCCACTGTGATCTGGTAGCCTGCCGGCACTACCGCGGTCGAGCCCAGCGGCATGATGGCTGTCGGCGCTGCGACAGCGGTGGCCGCCGCGAAGGCGGGTGCCGCTTGGGGCGGCGTGCCCGGCGTGTACAGGGCGGCGTGCGGAAGACGTGTGGCGGCTGCGGGGGACAGGGACGAAGTGCGCCGTGGATGCAGAAGTTCTGCGGCGGCAGGGACCGCGACGGGCTCCCCCAGGCTCGCCGCGGTGACGGGATCTGGCATCCAGGCACGGCCCGCGACGGGTTCCCTCGCCGCGGCGACGGGCTCTGGCATCCAGGCTGGGTCCTGCGGGGAGGCTCTGCCATCCAGGCTGCTGCTGCTGCTGCTGAACAGCTTCCGCATCTCGGTCCTGGCCCGCACCTGCGGCGGCACCACTGTGGCCACCGGCTCCGGCATGCCGGCCTCCGCCGCATCGGTGGCCTCGTCCACTACTGACAGGGCGGACTGTGGCGCGGCGCTGACCGCTGGACCCTCCGAATGCAGCCAAGCAGCCTCGCCAGGAGGCTCCGCCACTGGGTCGGGCAAGGGCACGGCGCCGACGATGTGGCCATCCGCGTGCGACCGCGATCCTTCGATAGCATGCTCGGCCTGCGCCAGCGCGGCGCCGTCTCGCAGCCCGAAGGTCGAGCTGGACGACAGCATGGCCGACGCCATCGCAGCGGCCTCCAGCCTGGCCTCCATGGCCTCTGCGATCGCAGTCTCGGCGGTGGTCTGCCCGTCCAGCGTGGGGCTGTCCTGGAGCCGGAACGCGCCAGGCGTGCTGCTGGCCCTCTCCGCGGCGCCGTCACCTGCGACCTGCCCCGCGGGGCCCGGCGCCGTGCTCGCCGCGGCGCCGCCGGGACCGCCGAAGTCGAGGGCTCCGAAGAAGTCCTCCCGGCGGGCAGCCGGCAGCGGCGGGCCCGAGAGCAGCGCGTCGCCAGCCCCGGCCAGCGGGAGCGGCTGGCCGAGGAGCCGCCGGGGTGCGGCGGCGGGGCTCTCCTCGAGGCGATCGGCGCCGCGCAGGTCCCAGGCGGGCCGGATCGGCGGCAGCTTCGCGGGGGCGCCCACCAGCGAGCGCAGCGAGGCGCCGAGGCCGAGGGCCCCCGGCCTGCTGCCGAACGGGCCTCCGCCGTCGCCGAAGCCAGGGCCGCCAGCGTCGCCGCCGCCGAGGGCTCCGCCGCGCTCCCCGAGCAGCATGGCGAGAGCCATGGCGGGAGCGGGCCGGGCCGCAGCCGCCACCTCTTCAGCCTGCCGCCGAAAAAGGGCTGCGGGGGAAGGCCAGAGGCAGAAGGCGAGGCGAGGCGACTCCCGGTTCGCGCGTCGTGGCGGCCGCGCGCGGGGCTGGGAGCTCGAGCAGGGAATCGACCAAGGAGTGGATTTAACCCAAGCTTGCCTTTCTCGTCGAATGCACGATCAGTTTGTAGATCTGGTTAATCGATCTACGGGGTATTACAATATTTTTCGAAGCTTCGACGAACAAATCAACTTTGGGGTAAATCAATGTTGTGGTCGATCCCCTACTCGAAAAGCGGACGCTGGGGCGCCGCCAGCGCCGCTCATTCAGCCCAGGGGGAAGATGCGTCTGCTTGTACGGTGCACGTAACCAACCTCCAATTGTGACCACAAGCCGCTTTGCGACACAACAGTTTTCCATTTGTCCTAACGCTTTGTGCGAATGAACTCTACCACAGCATCAATCCATGTTTTGCACGGTCGCTGTGGTAGCCGCTTGGTGCGTGCATTGGTGTTGCTAGGGTCCCAAAATGACGCCTTTTGGCTCCACCTGCCCCTGTAATCGCGCAAAAATCGCCGCCACAAGTCTTGCGGGAGAGGGCCAGAGGGGAATCCTCAGTTCTCTGGGCGTAGGAGGCTTAGGGCGTTCCCTCTTTCAACCCCCTTCTTCCCTTTGTTGGCGGAGGAGTTTGCGTAGGCGCCCAACCCCGCGCTCCGCGCTGCGCGAAGCAAGCGCAACTTCGCGCTCTCGCGCCGCCCCCCAAGGGAGAAGAGGAGAATGAAGAGGACAGGGAGCCGAACCGCGAAGCGCGACGAACTTCCCGCCCTCGAGGGCGCGCCTGCTCCTTCCCCTCTTGGCGGAGGGGTGCGCGCGAGCGACGACCAACAGCGGGCCTTGCGCAGGGCGACATGGCGACCTCACGCCGCGGCTCACGCGGGCCGCCTGCGCAGCAAGGCCGCGCGGGAAACGCAGGACCTCACGCGCGACCTTGCGCGGGCGGCTTGCGCGCGAACGTCGGCGCAGACGAAACCGATGCTCTGCGTCGCTCGTCTGGGACTGGGGCGCAAACAACAGTAGCCCACGATGGTCAAGATGGCCTTTAGCACACCTCCAAGAGACCACAAGACCGCCCCAAGACGGCTCCAAGTGGCCTCGGAGCCCCCCAAGGATACCACCGAGAGGCCAAAATCATTTAACAACGAAAATCATTTCAGCGATGTTGGCCCTCTCGCGTGTTCGGCTCCGGCTTCAAGAAGGCCCTATGATCGCCCAAGAGAAACCCATGAGGGACCCAGAAGAGGTCCAAGACGACCCCGGCAGCGCCAAACAGCGCCACAAGAGCGCTCCAAGAGTCTCCCGGGAGGCGTTTGTTCGGTCTCCAGAGGGAGGACCCTAATCTGTTGCTCCCCTGATCGAACCAAGAAATGCAATTCGCGAGTAACAAGCATATCCGCAGACCCTGTCCGCGTGTGTGAGGGAGAGCCCTGGGCTGTCGTTCAGGGGTGGTCCTGGGAGACGCTTTTCCATTCGAAGCTCTCCTTCCCTTTGTCTGCGGCCACCGAGGCTCTCCAAGCTCGCCAGCCCGACGTGAATCGACCCACGTCGCAATCGAGTCGAAGGGAAGCCCTCTCCCTTTGACCTCCCCGCCCCACTCCCTGGAGTGGCTCGGACGATCTTGGAGCAAATTTGGCGATTTTGCGTCGAAACCTCGGCACTCTTGGCAATCGTTGGAAATCCTGGGGCCGGCCCAAGAGGTCCTAATCGGCTGAATCGTCCAGCCCAAGATGAAGGGACCCTGGGACACACAAATAAATAGATACAAACAACAGGATTCCCGATATGTTCTTATATTTTCAAGGTTTTTGCCTTCCCCGCCACGTCCCACATTTTCACATATTTTCTGGGGAATCGACGATTAATTGTGTCTGTCTTCCCCCCCCCTGACAAGAGTCCCCCGAGACCATGCCAAGAAGGCCCAAGAGGGCCATTCAGAGAGACCCAACCAAAAGACCCCCAAGACGGCCTCCAGAGTGGCCAAGAAGCGTGCCACTGTCGCACTGCTGGGAGCCAATCCCTCCAACATGATCCAAACGACTCCCAAGAGGCCCACAATATGCCCCAAAACGCACCCAAGTGGGCTACAAAGGCTCCCAGGAGGCCCCCAAGAAGCCCCCGCAAGATCCCCCAAGATGTCCCCAACCCCTCTTAACAAGACCCAGGCGCATATGTTCGCCCTCGCATCGAACGTTCCCCATTCCATTCCGCCTCTTGCGCCCCAATTGTTCACTTGTCGGAGTCGGCGGATTACGACCGTACTGCCTTTGCAGCGTGTATCCGCTGATTCTGGCCTATCGGAGACATCCTTCGGATGCTGCAGTACGTCACCATGAATACTGACTTGGTCAAGCGCGGCTGACGACAGCAGGCGGAGTGGGTGGAATCGAATTATCAATAAGAGGATTCGGCGGAAGAAGCCCCGATCCTGTTTCGATAAAGCAAATCTGGTAACGAAGAGGCTCCGAGCTACTCCGCAGGATCGCGCAGGCCGCCCATCCATGACAGACATATTCAGGGGTCTGATGCTCCAGAAATCGAAACGTTGCCATCATGTTCTGTCACGGCTGTATGCACAATATGCCTTGAGATGGTCCGCGTTCGCTCAACACCCACGTGCCTTCAAGAGGCCGCAAGATGGCCCCAGGACGGCTCCGAGCGGTCACGGAGCCTCTTGAGGACGCTCCCCAAGAGGCCAACAAACATCCTTCAGCCACCCAGAAAGGTTTTCAACAAGAGGCCTCCTAGATGGAGTCGGAGTAGATGGGGTCGGAGGATCGCGCAGCATCGCCAATGCATCGCCAATGAATCGGCGATGCATCGGCGACGTCGGCAGTGCATCAGCGACGCTGGCTTGGGGAAACACGGGCTGCACATCGAGCCGCATCGTCGATGCATCGGCGATGCGGCGCGATCCTCGGATCCCAGCTACTACTCGGACCCCATCCAGGAGGCCTAGATCAGCGTTATTTGCTGCATCGCGCTTGTGCTTCCGACGTGCTACTGGTGCCTCACGATGGCTCCCAGACAACCCCACGGCAGTCTCAAGAGGTGCCTACGGCAAATTCGTGTCGTGCCGACCCTGGCGGCGGTTCCCGACGCCGCGGGGATCGTTCAACCCGGAACGATTGGCCATTTCCGACCCGTCCCATCGTTCAACGTCGACCGCTTCTGGGTGGCCAGCGGCGTTCAACCTTGAACGCTGGCGGCGGGGTCGCCGCCGATCGACGAACCTGCCAGACAGCCCCCGAAGGGCCCCGAGAGCGCCCCAAGAGCGTCCCGAGAGGGCTCCAAGAGACGATGCTTCGGACTCCGACGGGGCGAGGCTCACTGCGGGCTCCACGTGTTGTTCGTCGGTGGCCTTCAAGAAATGAGATGGGCTCCCAGAGGGCCACGACGGACCCCCAGGAAGGGGATCCGAGAGCTCTCCCCACAGGGCCACAGAGAGGGCCCCAGGACTGCTCCACGAGGCTCGGAGACCGAAAGATCCGCAACGCTTGCGTTTTTTCCATCGCACTTAAGGACCACATCCGAGAAACAAAAATCGAGCACCTTGGAAAGTATCGAAGCAGTGTCTGCCCGACACGCTGGCGAAGTGCCAAACGAGTGTCGCCTCCCAGGGCCCGACACGTGTAAACCGTCCAGTTACGTCCTTGATGCTCAAAACTATTTCTTGTGATAAACGCTCAAGTAGGTTGGAACATCATAACGCGAAGCCTTTATGACCTATCCTGTTTCCTGGTCACCTGGAAGGGCTCTTGCTTCAAAAGCTGCATCCCCCCCGAACTTGTGCTGCCTCTTGCGGCATCTTGGTTGGCTGGGTCGCGAAACAGAGGAGCCAACGGGCCAATCATATGCCTATGGCGGTCATACCTCAGGAGACCATGACTCAAATCATACAGTGCGCGGACCTGCCGAAATGGCAGAGAACGGAAATCGGGAGGCGAGAGAAGGCTCAACATAGAGCCCATCGACCAAACAACAAGCTGCTACGAAGGAGGAGCAGGACCAGGAGGAGGAGGAGGAGGAGGATGGAAAGTAGAACGCAGACGTAAGAGGTGATGATGAAGAGGTGCAGAAGGAAGATACCGGCGACAACGACAAGGAGCAGCAGAAGCAGCAGAAGCAGCAGCAGCTCCAGCAGAGACAGCTCCCCAGCAGCAGCAGCAGCAGCAGCAGCTGCTTCAGCGGAACAGAATTTCCGAGCAGCTCTAGTAACAGGTTGACGAACGATCAACACGCACCCATACCCATATGGGGGGACATAATGAGCTATATGGGTGCGTGTTGTCGGATGGGGGTCCCCGCTCTAACGGGGGCCTCCCCAGGGGTCCGACAACCCGCACCCATACCCATGGCCAGTCCTTCTCCCTCCGACCTCACTATGGGCATGCGTGTGTGTTGCTCGTTCGGCAACAGGTGGCAGCGGCACCGGCGAGCTGGCACGAGGCAGGCGGGTCCTGCAAGACACGGGTCCGAGACCCCAGGCCGTCCCCGGGGACCCACTTTCCGTCCCGAGTCGACTTTGACGCCGAAACCTCAGGACCCGCTGCCTTCTCAGGACCCGCCTGCCTCATGGCGACAGAGAGGGAGAGAGAGAGAGAGAGTCAGAGAGAGAGAGAGAGAGAAAAAAAAAAAAAAAAAAAGCCCTGAGATCCGACGTAGCGGAAAAACTGCAGCATCGTGCAGAAATCACGCCCAAAGCCGGATCGATCTGTGAGAGTCCCGGGGCCCGAGAGAGGGCGACAACGCCCGGCCCGAAACACTTGAGGCGCCAGGATCTCACGAAAAGACCAGGGGCGGAGAGTCGGTTGTGCCGACAGCCCCTCGCGCGAGCTCAGGCGCCCGCCGTCGCCGCCGGCAGGCCGCCGCGGCACGCGGGCGGGTGGCCGTACTCGGCCAGGTAGAGGGGCAGGGCGCGCTCGGGCTCGAACACCGCGACGGCCCCGCACGCGGGGAGGTACGCCGAGTCCGCGCCGCTGGCCCGCGCGGCGCGCAGCGCCGGCGGCAGGGGCTCGCCGCGCCCGCGCGCCTCGGCGCCGAGCCCCGCCAGAGCCTCGAGCGCGCAGGGCGCCGTGATGCACCGGCCCAGGGCCAATTCGACGATCAGCACGCGCCTCGTGAGGAACCGAGACAGGACCCCTGACCCTCTGGGAGGGGACCTAAGTCAGGAGGGTCCGAAACACTAGGGGCAGGCAGGGCCCTTTCCTGCGGATGCATCGAGCCCAACCGCCCAGAGCTACTAGGGCTATACCATCCCCGGGTGCGGAGACGGGGACCTCAGTGAGGCCACGTCTTCCCTGTGTTGCTCGGGCTAGGGGCTCCTTTGTTCTCGATGACCTCTGCTCCCCGAGCTGCTCGTGGGGCACCAGGCGGGGCGGCCGGTGGGCGGCGTCGGCGAGCGCCTCCGCGCTGCGGAGGTCCAGGCCGAAGAGCAGCACCCGGCCCTCGGGCAGGGGCGCAAAGCCGGTCGGGGAGGCCGCGGCGAGGGCGAGCTGCCGAGCGCCGCCGCACAGGAAGCCGTGCTGCCTGGCCGGCACGCCTGGCAGGCGCTGGCCGCCCCACGCCCGCTCCCGCTCCAGGAGCCGCTGGAAAGCGCCGCGGGCCACCGGGAGCCCCGTCTGGACGGCGCGGCCGAGGAGGGGGCGGCCGCAGGCCTTCGGCCCGCACGGCCCCTGCCACACCTGCGGCAGGAGCTCCTCGATCGCCTCCCTCGCCCTCGCGTCCGCGGGCGCGACCACGGCCGCCTCCGCGCTCGTGGCGCCCGTGGCGCACAGGGTCGTCGGCGGCGAGGGCGCACTCCGACGGTGGCACGCCGCCGGGTGCGGCGCCCGCTCACTGAGGCCCACGGCGGCGTCCGAAATCTCGTGCCTGGCAACCGCGGGCCACGGCAGCGGCCCGCTGCCGTGGAGGGCGCTGCCCGCCGCGGGCGCCGGGCCGCCCCGCCGCTCATCCTCCTGTCGCGAGCACCTCTGCCTCCACGCCGCCAAGCACCCCGTCGGCGGGCCGCGGCCGCACTGCCAGCCACAGTTGGCCGCTGGCAGGGAGGGCGCATCGAAGGGGTCGGAAGCGCGGCTGCCTCGCGCGCGAGGCGGCGGCGCCAGCGGCGCAGGGCGCGACCCCACGGCCTCGTCGGCGCCACGCGCCGCGCAGCCCCACCGCCCGTCCTCCAGAGCCGGGTACCAGAGGTCGCTGCCTCGGGCGCAGCGCCCCCCGTTTGGCCGGTAGGCAGGGCGGGCCGCCGTAGCGGCAGGGGCGTCCCAAGCGAGCCGCGGGGACGAGCCGCGCGCGGGCAGAGCCTCCAGGCCCCCTGCTTGGCAGGGGCGGTCCAGTGACGGCGAGTGCCCGTGCGCCTTCGGCGCAGAAGGCGCCGCGCCAGGGGTGTCCCACGCGAGCCGTGGGGACGAGCCGCGCGCGGGCAGAGCCTCGAAGTGGCAGGGGCGGCCCAGCGACGGCGAGTGCCTGCGCAACTCCGGCGCAAATGGCACCGCCGCGCCAGGGGCGTCCCGCGCGAGACGTGGGGACGAGCCGCGCGCGGGCAAGGCCTCGAAGTCCCGTACCTGGCAGGGGCGGCCTGATTCCGGCGAGTGCCCGTGCGCCTCTGGCGCAGACGACAGGGCATCCACGGCCCACGGCTCGTGGGTGCTGGCGGCGGCGTTGCAGGCCGAAGGCGCCGAGCCTGGCGTCGGCAACCGCGCCTCCGACCTGCCCCCTGCCGCGCTCCGCAGGCCACTAGCAGCGCTCTGCGCCCCAGGAAAAGCGCCCGGAGGAGCGGGCCACGGAAAAGCCACCGCGGCCAAGCCCTGGCCCACGTGCGCACGCAGCTGCCGCTCCGCGGCCCTGGGTGTCAGGCGCCTGCCCTCCGATAGCTGCTGGGGCCCCGGCTGGAGGGCCATCGGGGACCTGGCCACAGGGGACTGGCCCGCGGCCCTGGGCGTGGAGGCCGGATCCAGGACCCTGGTGCTCGAGTTCAGGACCCGCAGCGCGTCGAGCTCCTCCACGACCGGGCTCGGGCTCGGGCTCCCCCGATGCCCGCGGCTCGTGCTCGAGTTCAGGACCCGCAGCGCGTCGAGCTCCTCCACGACCGGGCTCGGGCTCGGGCTCCCCCGATGCCCGCGGCTCGTGCTCGAGTTCAGGACCCGCAGCGCGTCGAGCTCCTCCACGACCGGGCTCGGGCTGGGGCTCCCCTGCTGCCTGTGGGGCCTGGCGCGCAGCGGCGACGCCGGGCCGCTGGCTGGGCGGCTCGCCTCGGCGCCAGCACGATGCCTGCTTGCAGCGCGGTCCGCCTGCTGGTGCGGCGAGGGCGACAGGATGCTGCCGCGAGAACCTTCCGGAGAGCGGCGGGGTGAGGGATGGGCCAAACGCGTCCGTAGTGCTGTCGCTGCTCTTCCTCCGCCTCCTCCTCCTCTTCCTCCTTTTCTTCACTTCCCTGCTCCTCCCCCCACAAGAGGAGCGGAATCAAGCAGGGGCCAGAAAACAGCGACGCCTACCAGCGACGAATGTGCGTGTGGGGGTCGAAGCACGCGCCTCTGAGCTTATTTGCGGTGCGCAGAAAAGGGCAGGGGAGGGGGGAAGGCTCATCAGAAGGAGGCTGCTTGTTAGAAGGTGCTGGCCCTCCATCTAAAGATAACGCCCGCGCCTTCTGAGAGGCAGGGCGCTTCTAAGAAGCCTTCCCCTCTCCCCTTAGACCCCTGGGCAATTAAGTCGCGCTTTAGCCGCGCTCGCATGCCAATGCGCCCGATTCGCTGGAAGGGGTAGGGGTCGCCGCGCTCTCTCTTGCGAGGCGCTGCGCGAGCGCGGTGCCCCCACCCAGCCGTCAGCCCCCTATGCCCTGGCCCAACCCAGCCCAAAGCCAGGGCAGAAGCGAATGGCCGAGCTTGCCCCCCCCCACACGCACTCCTCTGAGCTCACCCCCTCCCCGAACGACGCCGTTTGGCTTCGGGTCATCCACCACTCGGCCCTCCGACGGCCTCTCGGGACGATCGGAGCGCTCCTGGAACGCCCCCAGCGAGGAGCAGCCGCTGGAGGGCACACCGAGGCTGGCAAAGGCCAAGAGCAGGCGACCACGCACGAGACCTCCAGCCTCGAGCCACCTGAGCCCGTCCCCACGACGTTGCCCCTGACCCCGGCGCGCCTTCGCCAGAGGGCGGCGTCGCAGGCGGCCGCTGCCGCGGAGGCGCCCCCGCCGCCGCCGCCCAGGCGTGGGCCGCCGCCCCGCGCGCCGCCCCGAGCGCCGCCGGCTCTCCGTCGGAGGGCCACGCCGCTGAAACGGCCGGCGCCTCGGCGGCAGGCCTGGGACATCGCCGAAACAACGGCACCGACGACGACGACGACGACGACAACGCCGACGCCGACGCCGACGACGACAACGCCGACGCCGACGACGACGACGACAAACGACGACGACAACAAAGACGCCGACGCCGACGGCGACGACGCCGACGAAGAAATTGACGACATTGACGACAACGACGATGACGACAACGACGACGACGACGATGACGACACCGACGCCGACGGCACCGTCGACGACGACGACGACGACGACGACGACGACGACGACGACGACCACGACCTCGTCGGTGGCGGCGGCGTCCACGTCGGCGGCGGCGGCGGCGGCGACCACGACGACGTGAAAGACCACGTCGGCGACAGCGACGCCGACGGCGACGCCAACGCCGACGCCAACGCCGATGCCGACGACGACAACGACGACGCCGACGAAGACGACGACGACCATCACCATCACCACCACGACCACGACAACGAGCACGACCGCGTCGGCAGCGGCTGGGGCGACAACGGCGACGAGAACGACGACGCCGACGACAACGACGACGACACCGACGCCGACGCCGACGCCGACGCCGACCACGACCACGACCAAGACCAAGACCACGGCAACGACCACGACCACAACCGCGACCGACGACACCGACGACGAAGACGACGCCGACGACGACCACGACAACGTCGGCGGGGGCAGCGACACGTCGGCGGCGGCAGCAATCACGACGACGAAGCGAACGACGACGCGGACGACGACGACGGCAACGATGCCGACGCCGATGCCGCCGCCGCCGACGACGACCACCGCGACGACGACCACGAACACAACCACGTCGGCGGCGGCGACGCCGATGACGATGACGACCACGAACGCGTCGGCGACGGCGGCGACCACGACGACGACGAGAACGACGACGACTACGACCACGACCACGTCGGCGGCGGCGACGACGACGATGACGACCACGAACACGTCGGCGACGACGGCGACCACGACGACGAGAACGACGACGACGACGACGACGACGACGACGACCACGACCACCTCGGCGATGGCGGCAACCACGACGACGACGACGCCGACGCCGACGACGCCGCCGCCACCGACGACGACAACGATCACGACCACGCCGGCGGCGGCGGCGACGACGACGAAGACGATGACGACCACGACCACACCGACGAGAACGACGACGACGGCGACAACGACGACGACGATGGTGCCGACGACCACAACGACCACGACCACGACGACGAACACGACGACGACCACGATCACGACATCGACCGCGACCACGACCACGACCATGTCGGCGGCGGCGGCGACGCCTGTGACGACGAGAACGACGACGACGCCCACGCATACGCCGACGACGTCCACGCCGAGGCCGACGACGAAAAGTGGACGATGACGGCGACGACGACGACGACGACGATGAAGACGACGACGACCACGGCCATCACGACCACCACGACCACGACAACGAGCACGACCACGTCGTCACTGGCTGCGGCGACCACGACGACGACGACGACGACACCGACGCCGACGCCGACGACGAATTACGAACACGGCGGCAACCGCAACGACGACGACGACCACGACGACGACGCCGACGGCGACGATGTCTGCGATGCCGCCGACAACGACAACGAGGATGACGACAACGAAGATGATGACGGCGACGGCGACGGCGGCAGCGGCAGCGACAACGACGCCGACGACAGCACGCACAACATCTATACAAGAAGGCATCTGAGGCCTGGCCAAGGCCATCCTCGGCCCTGGCATCACACCTGCCTGGGGCCCAGGCTGGCCCTGGCCAGGCACGGTGGTGATGCACAGGTGCCCGCTGCGGAGACGACGGCACTGACGACGATGGCGACGATGGGCGGACGCCGCCGTCGCCATTGCCGCCGCCGCCCTCACCGCCGACCACCGAGCCGCTGCCCGGACCGCCAAACGGCCGCCGACAGAAGACTGCCGACCGACGGCCGCCGGGGGCAGTCGTTGCTTCTGGGCCGCCCAGGAGGCCAGCGCGCCGCGGCGTCGGGCTCTCCCCTGAGCGGCCAGCGCGGCTGTGCGGCACCGGCTGGACCGGCCCAGAGGCGCGGGGCCCCGGGGAGGGCGGCGTCGCCTGAAACTCCCGTCAACGTCGTCGTCGTCGCCGTCGCCGTCGTTGCCGTCGTCGTCGCCGTCGCCGTCGCCGTCGCCGTCGCCGTCGCCGTCGCCCGTCGCCGTCGCCGTCGCCCGTCGCCGTCGCCGCCGCCGTCGCCGTCGCCGTCGCAGTCGCCGTCGCCGCCGCCGCCGCCGCCCGTCGCCGTCGCCGTCGCCGTCGCCACGGTCGGGGCAGGGCAGGCACAGGGCGTGCGGTGCCCGCTGGGAGGAGGCAGGGCGGAGGCCAGGGGCGGGGCAGGGGCAGGGGGCAGGCAGAGGGAGGGGCGAGGCGGGGCACGAAGAGGGGAAGTGGGGCACAGAGGTGGGGTGGGGTAGAGAGAGAGGGAGAAAGAGAATGGGAGAGAGAGAGAGAGAGAAAAAAAAAAGAGAGAGAGAGAGAGAGAAAGAGGAAGAGATAGAGAGAGAGAGAGAACAAAAAAAAAAAAAGAAGAAAAGAACGAAGCGTACAGCGAGAGAGTGAGAGAGAGGGGAGGGAGACGAGAGGGAGAGGGAGACGCGAGAAAGAACCGGCAGACGTTGCGGGCGCTCTAATACGCTCTAATACGCATCCGCCACCGTGCCACCCTGGCATTTGAGGCGTGGTAGGATGACAAGTGATGCCTGGTAGGAATCCTGCAATCTTCTCAGACCCTCACCCCCGACAAATCCATTCGCGTGCATCGTCCCCCCCTCCCTCCCGAGGCTTCCTGGGCGGCCCGACGACTCCTGGACTGGACGCCCTCCAAAGCGTCCAAGATGCCCAAGCTGGCTTCCAAGACGGCCCGGGCAAACCACCAAGGCCGCCAAGATGGTCCAGTCTGCCTGCGCGACAACCCGAGACCGAGATGACCAAAAGGCGGCCCAAGATGGCCTCAAAACTGCCCATGAGGCTCCCAAGACGGTCCAACAGGGCTCCAAGAAACCCGCCAGCGAGGCCCGAGGAGTCCACGACCATTCATCGCCCCAAAATGTTTGCTTGATGTTCGCCATCCCGCATGTTCGGGCTTCAGTCAGCTCAATACGGCCAGAGAAGCCTACAAGATGGCCTCAATACGGATCACGAGGGCCTCAAGAGGGCCCCAAGACGGCTCGAAAGCGTTTCCAGGAGGGCCCACGAGCGGTCCAAGTGCCCGAAGTTGGCCAAAGAGAGCCCTCAGACGACCCTCAGGGGGTCCCCAAGAGAGCCCTAAGACGACCCGGAGAGCCCCCATAGAGACAGACTCCGATGGCCTCAAGAGGGTTCCAAGGCGGCCCCTAAGCGTTCCAAAACGGCCCAAGGGCGGTTCAAGAGGACCCCACGTCGGCCCAAGGGAGCCCTCAGACGGCCCCCAAGGTCCCCAAGAGAGCCCCAAGACGACCCAGAGAGCCCCCCAAGACGGACTTTGAGAACGCCCAGACGGCTTAAATTCGCCCTCAGCCCAAGAGTCTCCGCAGCGCCGCCAATTCGCTGCCAAGAGGCCCCAAGAAGTGCCCAAGAAGCGAAGACCACCAAGAGGCACCCAACAAACACCCAGGGCCTTCGAGAGGCCCGAGGTGTTACACGTGATGGCCTTCTCTGCCCCCGCGAATGGTCGCCACCCCAAATGCTGCGCTGGCACGGCAGCGGGGCTTGCCGCAGACAGCTGGATAGAAGTCTCCTCACTGTATTCTGACCACTGGCGTCCCGGCGACCATCGTTCGGCGATGTGATTCCAAATCTCTCGCCTGCGATGGCTCCTCGCACCCGATCATGCACGCCGCAAACACTATACTGGGCACGTAGCCGATAAAGGTCAACACCAAACAAATCATCAACTCAATTCCGCACCCGAACCGTCAGTATATGCCGAGCGGCGGGAGAAGGTAGGCACATAGGCACGATCAGAAGAGATTATTGACGCTTCGCGCATCCCCACCAGCCCATCCATAATTGATTGCCAGTTTTCTTGAGGCCTCGTTGGAGGCTATCTTGAGCCATGCTCGGCTATCTTGGGCCATCTTGAGGCTGCCTTGAGGCCTCTTGGAGGTCTGCCGGAGGCTATCTTGAGCCATGCTTGGCTATCTTAGGCCATTTTGAAAACCATATTTGCCTATCTAGGGCTCTCTTGGAGCCATATTGGGCCAAACAGGGCGGGGTGGAGGGTCGTTGGGGAGAGGCTGGGAGGCCTCTTGGGGTCATATTGGGCCCCATGGCTCAAAAAGAGGAGGTCCTTCAATTAGCATCCCCCCTCGGAGGCTCTCGAACGGCATCTTGGGGCCCTCTTGGAGCGCTCTTGGGCGCCTCTTGGGCGATCTTGGGGCCGTCGTCGGCCTTCTTGGGCCCCTCTTGGGCCTCTTTTGGGCCATCTTGGGGACATCTTGAGGCTTCCAACGCCCATCGGAAGCGAAAAGGCGACAATGCCAAAAACATTGATTTTCCCTAGGCTTTTGAAGGGTTTTGGCATCTTGGAGGGCGCCGTGGAGGGCTCGGAGGGCACTTGGATCCGTCTTGGGGCTGTCTTGGGGCCTCTTGGGGGGATGTCGGAGGCTATCTTGACCCATCTTGAAGTAGCATGGGCCCATTTGGAGGCCATCTTGCGACTTTGAAGCCTTCTTGGAGCCTTCTTGGGCCATCTTGGACGCTGCGGTGCCTCCGTCCCCCCCCCTCCCAGGCCCGGGGGAGGGGGTAGGGGGAGGGGGAGAGAGAAGAAAACAACGCGTTATACCACCTAAGCCAAGAGGGCTGGTGGGATTACAACACCCCATACCGACTTGTTCAACGCGGCGGCGCCTGAATTGTCCTAGCTGGCGGGCAGGGAGATGTGCCCGGGGCCGAAGCCGAACTGGCTTGGGCCGAGGTGGCTTGAACCAACGAAGGCTACGGTTGGATGGGTCCCAAATGTATTGAAGTTCTCGAGAGGGAATTCGAAGGCCTGGGAGATTCTCGGAGTGGCTTCGATGGCAGTGGAAAGCTGAAGAGCGTCTCAATGATTGTTTGAAGGCTGCTAGAAGACAAGTGATAATGTTGTCCATGAGTCCTCCCCACCCGACCCCCTCGCAGACTTGGAGAGGGAGCGCAATTTCAAATGCATGTCTGCTCAACTTAGCTCGTGCCAAGGAAGGAGCAGGCGGAGGGGGGACAGAAGAGGAAATCAGAGGTGATAGCGATGTCCTGGCATTTGTAAGTCTTTCTCCTTCCTGAGTGCCGCCTCTTGTCCCTCTCGTTCCTCCTCTGAAAACGCATCCTCTTGTCCCTACTCCTCAACCTCCTTTTCAAACTCCTCCCGTTCCCTCTCGCTCCCAACACCCTTCGCTTTCCTTCCTCGTCCCGCCTGCCAGACTCCCTGCCTCCTCCTCCTCCTCCTCCTCCTTCTCGTGCGTACCCCCATGCCTACTGATCCTCATCCATGTACCTACGCCTGTCCTACTCTCTGCCGAGCTCTCTATATTGCTAGTCCTGCTCCATTATCCCCCCTCCTCCTCATTGTGCTCCACCCCCATTATCTCTCTCCGAATCATGCTCCCTCGTACCTCCAGCCTTCTCATTTCTCCCTTCGTCCTCCATCCTGTCAGGCTCCCAACCTCATCGTCCTTTATCGTTTCCCTGGGCCTCTTCATCTTCCACCATCTCCTTCCCTCTTTGAGTGCGAACTTTTCAGTTTGCTCCTCCTGCTTCTACGACTCATGGCTCCCTCTTCGTCACCCCCAATCACCTGTCTCCCCCATACCTATAATTCTATATATGTACGCAAACGTATACACACAACTGGATGTTCATATGTTTCACTCTATCTCTCTTTCTATACACATTCTCTCCCCCGTATCATGTGTTCTTCTCTTCTCCTTCCGTCTTCCCAGCATGTTCGTCCTCATTGGTCGTGCCACCATGCCCTCTCGTCCTCCTGCAGATTACCTTCCTATTTCCCCTGTCCACCACTATCACTGTTTACTCATCGCTCCTCCTTTCTACCG